TACTCATGTTGTGCAATGCCATGGAAGTCAGAAGAGGGCGTCAGATTCCCCTGGAACTGGAGTTACAGATACTCTTTAGCTGTCCTGTGGGTTCTGGGAATTGAACCTGGGCCCTCTGCAAGAGCAGTCAGTGCTCTTAACCACTGAGCCATCTCTCCAGCCCCAAGATCTTTCTTTTTTTTCAAAGATTTATTTAATTATACTTTATGTGCATGAGTGTTTTACCTGCATGAATGTAAGTGCAGCATGTACACGCAGTGCCTCAGGAGGCCAGAAGAAGGCATCAGATCCTCTGGAAATGTAGTTACAGATCATTGGTAGCCACTATATGGGTGCTGGAAACCTAACCTCTGCAAGAGCAGCAAGTACTCTAACCACTGAGCCATCATCTCTCAAGCCCCCAAGACCTTCCTAATTCTCTTATTTCTCCCTGCTAAGTAAAAATAACATGTAGATGAAAGCTGGGGAAAATACAGATGTATTTTTTGCCCTCTTTTAAAAGTAATTTTAGAAACCGTTAAGGCTGGGTTGATACTTCATTCAGTGCTTGCCTTGCAAACATGAGGACCTGAGTTTGATGGCCCGGAGCCCCGCCCCCACCCCCTTTTTTTTTTTAAAAGCTGGGTATGGTGGCACCTAGCACTCAGGAGCACCAACAGGAGGATTGCTGGGCCTTGCTGCCAAATAGCCTAGCCTTACTTGGTGATTCCCAGCCTAGGAGAGACCTTGTTTGAAAAACGAGATAGACAGCACTTGAGGAGCAGCAGCTTACATTGCCTTCTGGCCACCACATATATGCCTACATGTGTGCACATGCATCGGTACACACACATGCTCCTTCACACATACTTTTAGTCTCATCTCATTTTCTAAGACTTGAAATCAGCAAATCATTACTATAATGATTTACTCTGGCCACACAAATTCAAAGTGCTTACCTCTCAGATATGACATTTTCGTGGGAAATATTGGAGGTTCAGGAATACTAACATAATAAAATATAAGCTAAGGGACTTTTTGGTGAGTATTATACTTGAAATTTGGCCCCATTGATTTTGTTTGGGAGTGAACACACTTTATTATATATAAATTCTACCTAAATAAAAATATTATGTAGATCTTTTAAAAACAGTTTAAAAATTTTTTAAATTTATTTTTATTTTATTTGTATGTGTATTGTGTCTGCTTGTGTGTAAGTGCATTTGTGTGGCGCAGTGCTCTCAGAGGACAGCAGAAGAAGCTCAGATCCCCTGGGACTGGAGTCACAGTCAGTTGTTAGCTGCCATGTGGGTGCTGGGATTCGAACCTGGGTCTTCTGCAAGAACAGTGTTCTTAACCACTGAGCCATCTCTCCAGCCCCTAAAAATAGTTTTTAACCCTATTCCTTCTTCTAGGTCATAAATAAGGTTCATCTTAAGACAAATCATGTTGTAAAGAGAGATGCCGATGAACATTTAAGAATCAAGACTATCTACGATAAAAGTATTGAAGAGTAAGTTCGAGATTCTTTTGCTACTTATCTATTTATTATTTGTTGCCAGAGACAGGATCTTACTACATTGCCCAAGATGACCCTTCAGTTCTCTGTGTCGCTCAGGCTGGCCTCAAACTCACCACCACCCTGCCTCAGCCTTTGTCATCTTTTCTATTGTCCATCTAAAGATTAATGTTATTTTCACTGGTTACCTAACAGAAAGTAAGTAGATGGGACTAAAAAGGGCTAGTGTAGCTTTGCAATAGAATTGAGCTGAAATTGCTTTTTCTTCTGAAAAGCCAAAGGCCGTGATATATAATTAAAGTCTGTCTCTCATGAATAATTTAAACAGAGAAAATATGGATTTAGTTGGATGTGGCCATAGCAAATCCATAAGACACTTGTCAGTAAGTATTTGGAGGAGAAATAAGAAATGTGAATATAAACCATAAGAAGGAAGTATACAAAATTAAGGAGACACATTATGTAGTCTAATTTAAATGTAGTCTAAAAGCAATGCACAGAACAGATTCTGAGTCTGAAGCAGCTTCTGAAGAGCCACTGGGCACAGTTGATGTCTTTCTCCTTAATATTTCAAATGAATGAGCTAATGTATGCTCATACTTAGTACCCTGCTTAGGCACAGAAGAATGTCTCAAATACCCATTGAGGTAAGTTGAGATTTTAGAAGACAGAACTCCAAAATATACAGATGTCTGTATTGCCTTCTTAAGACCTTTGACAGATCCAGTCTGAACAGACAGTGCTGTACTACAGAGTGGCAGTACTTTTTTTCTTGTGTGGAAGTGGAGATTGAAGCTAGGGCCTCATCAGTCTAGGCAAGTGCTCGACCACTAAATTGTCTCACTAGCTCTGAAAGCGGCAGTTCTTACATGTCCCTTCCTAATTTTCAGGTTGCTCCCTGAGAAAAGACATCTTGTAAAGGTATGTAATAAATATTCATCAGCTGGATACTTAAAATAGATACACTTTATTATATGTTAATTCTGCCTTGAGAAGGAAAAATACATACATACTGTTGGCTTATGAATGATTGGATAAGAGATTTTGTTAGTAAATGTATTTCTCATTTTACCAAAGGCTTTTTATGATATACTTAGCAAAACTTTCTTGATAGTTGACATAATTAGTCATTTCATAATTTGATACTAAACCAATATTCTCATTTAAAAAAATATTTTATTTATTATTTTTATTGTATAAGTGTATTGCCTGCATGTATGAGGGTATCCGTGTCATGCAATGCCGCAGAGGTCAGAAGAGGCCATCGGATCCTCTGGAACTGGAGTTACAGACAGTTGTTAGCTGCCATGTGGGTGCTGGGATTTGAACCCGGGTCTTCTCTGCAAGAACAGTGTTCTTAACTGCTGAGCCATCTGTCCAGCCCCAATATTATCATTTTAAAAAATATTTTTATTTTAGCTGGGCGTGGTGGCACACACCTGTAGTTCCAGCACTTGGGAAGCAGAGGCAGGTGGATCTCTGTGAATTCAAGGCCTGCCTGGTCTTCATAGTGAGTTCCAGGCCAGCTGGGACTGCAAGGGGACCCTGTCTCAAAAAGATCAGGGTCTTATTTTATATGTGTATGAGTATATTGCCTACATGTATGTGAGTGCACCCATGTTGTGTAATGCCGGGGAGGTCAGAAGAGGGCTTCGGATTCCCCTGGAACTGGAGTTAAGGATGGTTCATAGCCGCCATGTGGGTGCTGGGAATCAAACCCAGGTCCTCTGCAAGAGCATCACACAAACATCTCTCCAGCCCCTTAAAATGTTATTTATTTTGTGTGTGTATGTATGTGCAAGTCACACTGTGTGTGTGTGTGTGGTCAGAGGACAACTTGCTGAAGTCGGTTCTTTCCTTCTACCACATGGGTCCCAGGGATTGAACTAAGGTTTTCAGATTTGACAGCAGGCACCTATATCCACTGAGCAATCTCACCAGGCCCGAAAGGACAATTTAAAAAAAAATTTTTTTTTATTATTTTTATTTTACGTGTATGCGTGTATTGCCTGTGTGTAGATAAGTGCACCCATGTTGTGTAATGCCTGTGGAAGACAGAAGAGGCTGTTGGATCCCCTGGAACTGGAGTTACGGACAATTGTTAGCTGCCATGTGGGTGCTGGGATTCGAACTCCAGTTTTCTGCAAGAACAGTGTTCTTAACTGTTGAGCCATCTCTCAATTTTTAAAAAATATTTTTTAATATTTTAATTGTGTGTCTGTGTATGGATATGTGCACATGAGTGCAGGTGCCATGAAGGCCAGAGGTGTCAGGTCCCCATGGAACTGGAGTTACAGGCAGTTGTGAGCCACCTGATGTAGGTAATAGGAACTGAATTCAGGTCCTCTGGAAAGCAGTATATACTCTTAATTGCTGAACCATCTCTCCACACCCCAAGGACAACTTTTTAAAGTTATATTTTATTTTGTATGTGTATGAGTGTTTTGCCTGCATGTATATGTAAGTGCACTGTGTCCATACAATGCCCACAGAGGCCAGAAGAGGGCATTGGATTCCCCCCTGGAACTGGATTGCAGATGGTTGTTAGCTGCTGCATGGGTACTGGGAACCAAACCTGGGTCCTCTGCAAGAGCAGCCATTGCTCTTAACCACTGTATCATCTCTCCATCCTGATGAAGGACAATTTTTTTAGTGCATTGAAAACACTATTCTTTTGATAGGAATGTCCATTTTCTTAGGATTAACTGACCTGATAGTGATAAGACAAAGGGTGTGTGTGTGTGTGTGTGTGTGTGTGTAAGAGCCTGCACATATCATAGCACAAGTGTGGAAGTCAGAGGACAGTTTTCAGAAGTCAGTTCTCTCCTTTTACCGTGGGTTCTGGGGATCAAATTGAACTCATCAGGCTTGCCTAGCTAGTGCCTTTACTTTCTGAGCTATATTGTTGGCCCTCATCAGATTTGTATCTGAGGAGTCTCACAGGCACACATTCAGGCTGCCTCAGGACCTTGGACAGGTGTAAGTTTTTCTTTCTTGTTCTCATAGTCATTGATACCCAGTTGATCACTTGCTTAAATGTAATTTATTCCTTGACTGCAATTCTAACTAGATTTTTCTATCTTATTTAGAACAAACTCTTTCCACAAGCTATTTCTTACTTAGAGAAGACATTTCAGGTTCGTAGACCTGCTGGTACCATCTTACTTAGCAGGTATGTGCCAACCAACCAACCGATAGTTTCCTTCATTCATTTAGCAATATGCCCTCCCCATTCTATCAATATGGCAACGCATGGAATTTTTTTTTTTTTTTTTTGGAGACAGTGTCTCCCTATAGCCCCAGCTAGCCTGGAACTGGCTATTTAGTCCAGATGTCCCAGATCTATCTGCCTGCCTCTGCCTCCAGAGTGCTGGGATTAAAGGTATATGCCACCATGCCCAGCTTTATATTATAGGATTTTTTTTTTTTTTTTTTTTTTTTTTTTTTTTTTTTTTTAAAAAAAAAAAAAAAAAAAAAAAAAAAAAGAGGACGATAAATCTTTCACTGTGATATATCAAAATAAAAAAAAAATCCACCTGCCTCTGCCTCCCAAGTGCTGGGACTACAGGTGTGTGCCACCACTCCCGGCTTATAGTAGGATATTTTATTATGCCTATTTTTAGAGACCAAACTGCAAGGTATTTGAAAAGAATAAAAAAAACACCTGCTGAACGGTTCCTTTCCCTGACTTTGCATTATGAGCTGTTCTTTCATCCCTGTTCCTTCTTCCTCCATCACATGACTGTGATATTGGCTTTATGAGGAATCTGAGTGTTTGACGAGTCCCCATAGAACTGAAGTCCAATAATTATTGGACTATCTACTTAACTAAAATAGTAATTGTTAGTAATGAAGTAAAACAGTGGCTACAAGTGTTTACTATGTTTTAACTGCTGTGAACTATTCTTTTTCTTTTTTGTAAACTTTGATGTATGAATGAACCAAAGGCAATGTACAACAAACCAGTACCTACGGAAAGAAAATGATCCTCATAGATACTGTACTGGGGAATGTGCTGTGCATACAAAGTGTGGTCCAGTCACAGTGCCTGAGGAGCATCTCCAGGTATTCTTCCTGCTCTTACCAAGGTTTTGTACTCTGCAGCATAAAAGGGAGATTTTTGAATCTTTCTCACCAGGAAGTTTTTAGATTTAAGTGCAGAGGTAAGTAACTTGTTTGTGTGCTGATTAGTGTCAGTTGTCAGCTTGACACACCTAGGAAGAGGGCTTGTCAATTGAGGAATTTCCTTTATTGGATTGGCCTATGGGCATGTCTGTAGTGCATTTTCTTAATGCTAAATTGATATAGGAGGGCCCAGCCCACTGTTCTCTGCTTTAGTTCCTGCCTCCAGGTTCCTAACCTGAGTTCCTCTGGACTGCCCTCAAAGGTGGATGGTGCTTTGGAAGTGTAAGATGGGTTAACCCTTTCCTTCTATGTTGCTTTTTGGTCAGTGTTTTATCCTAGCAACAGGAAAGTAAATTAAAACTGTTTGTGGTGCTATAATTTAAACCTAGGACCTCTTTGTCTAAAAATCATCATAGTTAGGCATGCTGGTTTTATTATTTCATTTGGTTTTGAAGCTTGTTTTATATTTTCTTCCCTTCCTCATTTGTGCCCAGGTTTGCCGAAGCAGTTTAGCTTAGAACTTCACTTTTCTCTAGAACATTTTTTTAGCTTTTTTTTTTTTTTTTTTTCCATGTGTATTGTCTGCATGTAGGTAAGTTCACTCATGTGCAATGCCCGAGGAGGTCAGAAGAGGTTGTCGGATCCCCTGGAACTGGAGTTATGGACAGTTAGCTGCCATTTGGGTGCTGAGATTCAAACCTGGGTCTTCTGTAGAACAACCAGTGTTCTTAACGGTGGAGCCATCTCTCCAGCCCCATTTTTTAGCATTTTTTAAAGGGTAATTTTAGGTCTCCCAAAATACAAAATGTTTGCTTCAACCAGAATTAGAAGTTTATTCCATTAAAATACTTAAAACTGGCCAGGCTTGTACCTAGAGCTCTACTGAAGTAGGAGAATCACTGGAACTTATGAATTCAGGACCACCTGGGGCAATGGGGCAAACCCTGTTTTAAAAAAGGAAAAAGAAAAAAACCACCAGTGACTATGTAACATGTATTCAAAGGTGCTCTTTGTGAAGCTATAAACATCCTATTTAGGTTATTAAATTACAGTGTAACCATATGATGGACCTGCTGTGCAGTTGTTAAAAGTTAAAAAAGATCTCTGTGTACTACAGGCTTGGAAAGATATTTAAGCTCGCAGGTGAAAAAAGGAAAGGTTGAAAGTATGTGTAGTTAGCCTATTTTATCTGAAAAGTACAAACATGCATATGATAAAAATTATAAAGTAAGGTAGGTGTGGTGAGGCATGTCTCTAATCCTAGCACTTGGAAGGCAGAGGAGGGAAAATCTCAAATTCGATGTCAGCCTGGGCTAGATAGCAGGACTGTGTCTCAAAAAGCAAAACAAACCAGAAAAATAAATATCTGGAGGAATATACCTGTTAAATTTGGATTTTTTTTAATCATTAGAGGAAGCATTTCATTACAGCTTTAATGTACTCAATAACAATTTCCAGAGCAAAGATACATGTCTTTCAAAAGTAGCTATAAAGTTTTTAGGTTCACAATTGAATTAATAGTTAGACAATATTGAACTCAGTATAAACCCAGTAAGACATAAAATTGAGATTTTAACCTTTAAAAAAGATCTGTTTCATTTTAAAATATACTGTTTCTTACAGAAAGACTCATTGTTTTTGCTAATAACACTTAGATGTTGGCACAGGCGTCTCTAATCTGGATGTATCTGGTAATTACTAGTCATGGTCGGTTGCACTCAGATCCTTGGCACCCGTGTATGGATATAAAGTCATCAGGTAGATTTCAGTGGTAATGTTTATCCCCTCTACTAGTTAACATGACGTAAATTTTTATGCTTCCTCCTTAAATATAACTTATTTTTTAATTTGTTAATTTTTTGTGTCTATATTACACAGAACATCCCCTTATTCATCTGTATACCCACTTCCCAGATGGCACCCTCCCATAGCCTCTCCCCAACCCCCCACTAGAGCCCTTGTACTCTGATATCCCTGCTACTGTCCACTGTGTTGTTGGCACCCCCAGTCTTTCCCCAGTACTTGTCCAGCCGGTGAATCTAGTCAGCCTATCTAGAGGTCTTTGTTTTAGGAGGGTCAGCTGTTCCTCATCTAGCGGTAATCAGTTGTCAATATTCCTTTAGATAAGATTGGAGTCTGCTG